GACATATACCCTTGCGCTTTGCTACTCTGCTCCTGAATATGCATGCCCTGTGTGGAATACATCTCACCATGCTAAAACAATGGATGTGGCTCTTAATGAGACATGACGCATTATCACAGGATGTCTATGCCCTACACCACACCACTGGAGAAATTACACTTTCAGCCGGTATTGCACCACCTGACATCCACCGGGAAGTAGCAGTCAGCAATGAAAGCACTAAGGCATTGACATCTCTGGCCCATCCTCTGATATCAGCCAACATGCCAATGACTTAAATAAAGAAACAGCTTCCTAAGATCTACAGAGATACTTGTAGGAACACCTCAGCAAGAGAGAGTCCAAAAGTGGCAGGCTAAAACCCGGAACCTCAATCAGCAGCTGAGACTGGATGAAAAACTCCCTCCTGGGCACACAGAAGACCAGGTGACTTGGAAGACACTGAACAGACTGTGCTCTGGTGCCACATGGAGTCCACATCATGTGAGTGTGGAGGAGAGCAAACCACAGACCACTTGCTACAATGCAGTCTGAGCCCTGCCACATGCACAGCGGAGGACCTTCTTAAAGCGACACCTTTGAGCTTCTGATCAAAGGACATTTCTTATAATGCCAAGTTTTTAACTTTGTGGTTTTTCTATACATTATAACTGTATCCTCGATGCACTTCTGACAAAATAAATAAATGCCTCCCCCTGCTTCTTCTGTCTTGTTAATATGTGTATTTGTGGTATTTTTGCAATGTTTATGTGTTGTAATTCTTCTGTAACCTGCCTCAAGCCATGAGGAGAGGTGGGTAAGAAATAATTAGGATGATGATGATGATGATGATGATAATGGTGGTGGTAATTTTATTATTATTTTCTTTCCACAAAAAGGAGAGAAAGAAACAGACTATTTCCATTTTTTTTAATGATTCCAGAAAGTCACATCATGTTTTGTGATTAATTGTGGTACAATATTTTAGGATGGTTATCCCAATTGATAGAGACTCCTGGAAACATTGAAAATGATAGTTGCATTTGAACGTATCAGAAAGGTATCAGGCAGCAGCACTAAAACACATAAAAGTTACGAAAGGGGAAAATTGTAAAGGTACCTTCAAAACAACTGTGTCGTTGTATCACCAGAGTTCTTCTTTCTTCTCTCTACACACACATGTTTACAGCAAAGCTCCCTTCACTGTGTCACATCCTTTCCTTTTATTTCCATGCACTTTTGCATCTTTAATGACAACTCTAATGAAGGCAGTCTCACTTTTCAATAGAGAGATATCCAATCCCTTCATTACAATCCCAAGGCTAGTAATGAGGCAGGTGTATCTATCGTTCATCAGATCAGGTGTCTCTCAGAAAGTGGGAGACGAGCCCATTACCGTTTCAATGGAATCATTAACCACTGCGTATCCCACCTGCCGTTTCTGACCCTGTGTTATAAGAACAAGTGCCTAGGAAAATATTTCCAATGTTCTTCTTCAATGATCACAAGTAGAGCCTGGACTAATGCTGCTATAATCCCCACTCATCGGATGTATCCCACATCAGAATGATTTTCCATGTTTAATTACTTGAGCACAAGCAAACTATCATTTATCAATATCCCTCTGGTTCAGCACCTTTTAAAGAAAGAGATACAAATAAAACCCACCGACTCTCTTCAATGTTCATTTCTCTATAAAGGAATGCAGCACATCTCTTTACACAACTGAAGAAGGCTATGCCTTACCTCTCGAAAAGGTTACATACTGCAAGTCAACTGACACAAGCTCGGGATCACAACCAGAAATAGTGAAGACATCTGCCCTTGCGTTTTGCTACTCTGCTGCTGAATACGCATGCCCAGTGTGGAATACATCTCACCACACTAAAACAATGGATGTGGCTCTTAATGAGACATGCTGCATCATCACAGGATGTCTACGCCCAACACCACTGAAGAAATTGTACTGTTTAGCCGGTATTGCACCACCTGATATCCGTTGGGAAGTAGCAGCCAGCAATGAAAGGACCAAGGCAGTGACATCTCCAGCCCATCCTATATTTGGGTATCAGCCAGCAAGCCACTGCCTTAAATCAAGAAATAGCTTCTTAAGATCTACAGAGATACTCACAGGAACAGCTCAGAAAGTGAGAGTTCAAAAGTGGCAGGCTAAAACCTGGAACCTCAACCAGTGGCTGAGACCGGATGAGAGACTCCCTCCTGGGCACACAGAAAACCGGGTGACTTGGAAGGTGCTGAACAGGCTGCACTCTGGCGCTATGAGATAAAGAGCCAGCCTAAAGAAATGGGGCTTCAAAGTGGAGTCCATGCCATATGAGTGGGGAGAAGAGCAAACCAACACCACTTACTACAATGTGGCCTGAGCCTCACCACGTGCACAATGGAGGACCTCCTAACAGCAACACCTGAGGCACTCCAAATGGCCAGCTTCTGGTCAAAGGAAATATAGCATCTTGTCAATTTTTTGTTTGTTAGTACAAAGCTCCCAGTGGTGCAATGGGTTAAACACTTTTGCTGGCAGGACTGCTGACTGAAATGTCGGCGGTTCAAATCCGGGGAGTGGGGTGAGCTCCTATCTGTCAGCTCCAGCTTCCCATGCAGGGACATGAGAGAAGTCTCTCACAGGATGGTAAAACATCTGGGTGTCCCCTGGGCAATGTCCTTGCAAACGGCAAATTCCCTCACACCAGAAGCACTGGGTCATTTGTGGTTCAAGAGTTTTCAACAACAGCAGCGTCAATATAATGACAAACAGGAACCCCGTTTCTTACTTTCTGGCAATTGCCGGGTTTAAATGGCATGTTGCAAAAATGAAATGTATGTTAACACGTTGCATCTATCCTTACCAACCCAGGGCAATATTCAGGATGCAAAAGCGATATCCTTTAAGCTTCAATAATATAGATTTGAGATGTAACACCGTAATTCAAAATACTTTATTGGCAACAGATGCAGCGCTTTAGGTAGTGCTGTGTTGCCACAAAAGAAGAATGTCGTCACTTTCAAATGATTAAGAGCGCAGGTTGCTTTGAGAGAAGAACACAATAATGCATTTTCTAGAACAGGCATGGGCCAGCCTGGGCCTTTCACGTATTTTGAACTTCAATTCCCACAATTCCCTACAGCCTCAGGCCCTTCCTTTTCCCTTTCCTTTTCCTCTTAAGCGGCTGAGAGGTAAAAGGCCCTAAGGCTGTTAGGAATGGTGGGAGTTGAAGTCCAAAACACCTGGGGGGAAGTTGGCCCATGCCTGGTATAAAGGAAGGTCTCTCAGGTAATCATGGGAAACAAGTAATCTATATAAATAAAAACGTAATGTTTGTTTGTGGGATTAACATAATTCAAAAACCACTGGATGTACTGACACAAAATTTGGACACAATACACCTATCAGGCCAACGAGTGACCATCACTCATAAAAACACTGAAAAACACAGCGGAAGGGACTTAAAAAGTCAAAAGAGCAAAAATATGCTACAGCGCATGCACAAAAACAACTCCCCCTGGCAAACAAAACACACAATAGCATATCCACACTCTCTTTCAAACTACAGCTCTCAGCATTTCCTAGACCAGGCCTTTTAGGAGAGAATGATCCAAATGCACTGCTTCCAAGCGGCAAGCTTTCTTCTCCTTGGATTTATATGAGAGCATCCCAATCCGTGCATATTTCCAATTTCCTACACCTGGACTGCAACTCCCAGCAATCCTCCAGATAGATAAGATAGATAGATAGATAGATAGATTAGATAGATAGATTAGATAGAGAGAGAGATACATAGATAGATACATAGATAGATACATAGATTAGACAGAGATAGGTAGGTAGGTAGATTGATCAGGAAGACTGCTGGGAGTTGCAGTCCAAGAATAGGTGGAGAAGGAAGAAAGGGGAAAAAGAGGAAGGGAAAGAAAAGGGGGAGGGGAGAAGGGAAGAGGAAGAGAAGGAAGGAATGAAAGAAAAAGGGGAAGGAAGGAAGGAAGGAAGGAAGGAAGGAAGGAGGGAGGGAGGGAGGGAGGGAGGGAGGGAGGAAGGAAGGAAGGAAGGAAGGAAGGAAGGAAGGAAGGAAGGCAGGAAGGCAGGAAGGCAGGAGAGAAAGAAAGGAGGAGAGAAAGAGGGAGGGAAGGTTGGCCACAGCAACGTGTGGTGGGTACAGCTAGTAAATATAATAATAATACAAGTTTATATATATCCTGCCACCATCTCCCAAAGGGACTCGGGGCGGCTTACAAAGCACTCCAGGGTGCACATACAACATACAACCAGTAAAACAGTACAAAAGTGTAAAATAAGTCACGTAAAATTATAACAACAACCCCTCCCCCCCACCACCACCAACACATGTAAGCATAAAATCAAAACAGTGCAACAACAGTAGATAAAACAAACTGTCGTCAATTCACAGGTGCCAAGTTTCAGTTTCATACGGGTCCATTCAGCCTACTCAAAGTCAAAGGCCTGTCTGAACATCCATGTTTTCAGGTTGGAATGGAAGGACTGAAGAGTGGGGCTAATCGAACCTCTTTTGGAAGGGTATTCCAGAGCTGGGGGGCCACCGAAAAGAAGGCCCTCTCTCTCGTCCCCACCAACTGCTCTTGAGACAGTAGCAGGGCTGAGAGGAGGATCTCCCCTGTCGATCTCAAATCCCGCACTGGTTCGTAGAAAGAGATTCGGTCTCAAAGATAGGTTGGACCCGAAGCTAACATTAGCACATGACAGAGGTATTGAATAATAAAATAATGACCCTACTAATATATAATTAGATCTCAATAAATGATATTATCAACATGATTTTATGGCAATGTTTTGGAAGATGACGCTGCTGTATTTAAATAAATGTAGATTGTGGTACATGAATAAAACAAAGGGAGACTGTGGCACATAAAAAGAAAGAGTAACACATCCCCTGAAAATAAGTTGTGTCTTCTGGAGTAAAAATGATTATCAGGCCCAGTCTTATTTGCAAAGGAATACGGTAGTGGAGCCATTAGGTACTACTCACAAACTGCCTCCGGAGTTTGGTCTTGACTTGCTCAACCTTGGTTTCGGTGGGATGGAGGGAACAACTGAGGGAGCCCAGATGATGGTCCACAGAGAGGCTCTTCCTCATGTAGCAGGAGTGTGCTCTCACGGAGCGGAAGGGCGCCTCCTCGACAGCTGAGTGCAGCCGGGGCTGAAGGGCATGGGCATCCCTGCAGGGTGCAGCACCGTTCTCCTTCAGCTGCCAAGCCTCTCCTGCATGGGCAAGAGAAAGGGAGGAGCTGCAGCCATCACATTGAAAGGGAGCCACCAAATCAGTTACACAGTTAAAGGGCCACATTTGGACTGGTATAATGGCTTCAAGCATCATGCGAAAGGAGATCCCACCTGAACATTTGGAAGAACTTCCTGGCTGATTTCAGAGCTGTTCAACAGTGGAACTCTCTTACATTTTCAACATATTAGAGAAAATATGTATAAATGTTGTATAGATGTTATGTAATTCCAGAGATGATTGCTAAAATAGATAAATTTCACCGAGGGTGTAAGGCACAGAAAGGCACCTTTTCCCATGTTGGAAGACCTGTAAGATGGTACAAGATTTTTTGGAAAATGCTGTTAAAGAAACAAACAAAATGATTATTAAAAAGGTTAAGAAAAACCCAGCAAAATGTCTTTTAGGGCTATTTAGGAAGAGAATCAGCAAATGAGATGAAGAAATCTATCAATATAGCTTTGTTGCTGTGAGATTAACAATAGTGAAGTCTTGGAAGCAGGGAAAAGAGTTACTTATCAAGGACTGGAGAGGGAAACTATTGGAATAGATTCAAATGGCAAAGCTAACCAATGGTATTCGGGGAGGAAACAAAGGAATTTGCTAAAAATGGAGGTTGCCATTTGGATATGTGGAAAGGAAGACAAATGCAGACTTTAAAGTAGCCACAAGGGGAAGTTATTCAAGCAGACATAAGGACAGGCTTTTAACAGGTATAAGAGCCGTAGCAAACTACTGGAAGCGAGAGCGAGCTTGTGCTCGAGCTCGCTCCGAAGCCCCGCCTTTTTTCCCCTGAGGCTGCTCTCTCTCTTGCTAGTGTGCCTGTTTTCCCTTGCTAGGGAAGCGATGCGAGTGTACTCTCGCAGTTGGCAGAATTCAACTGTGAGCGTACGCTCGCATCCCTGCCCTCTGCAATGGAAAACAGGCACGCTAACAAGAGAGAGAGCAGCCTCGGGGGGGGGGGAAAAAGGCGGGGCTTCGGAGCAAGCCCGAGCGCAAGCTTCCTGTAGTTTGCTGCGGCACGAGCGTATGCTCGCAACTCTGCCCTAGCAAAGGGAAATAGGCGGAGAAAGAGGCGGAGCATCGCTTGTGCTGGCTTAGTTTGCTCTCGCAAAATCCTAGTTTGCTACGGCTCTAAGATTCACGTAGAATAGTGACAGAAGTCAGAGGTGGGAGGTTCACAGGGGTAAGGATGGAGGAAACAGGTGTAATAGGATGTTGTAACTGTATAGTTTTTCTTAGTCATCTTATTTGTTCTTTGTTTTTTGTTCGTTTGTTACTTATATACAATAAAATTTTAAAAATTCACACACACAAACAGTGGAACTCTCTTTCTTGGAGTCTGGGGGAAGTTCCTTCTTTGGAGGCTTTGAAACAGAGGCTGGGTGGCCATGTGTCGGGGGGGGGGGGGCTTTGATTGTGCCTTTCCTATATGGCAGGGGATTGGACTAGATGGCCTTTGGGGTACCTTCCAACTCTATTATTTTTATTAGCATTATTATTACTTTTGAGGTTGGATGGTCATCTGTCAGGAGGGTTTTGATTTTGAAGGCAGAAAGGGGTAGGACTAGATGGCCCTTGAGTCTCTTCCAACTCTGTTGTTGTTGCTGTTATTGTTGTTGGATAGCCATCTGTCGGGAGTGCTTTGATTATGCTTTTCCTGCATGAAAGCAGAAAGAAGAGGTTGGACTGGATGGCCCTTAGGTATCTCCCAACCATTATTATTATTACCATTATTACCATTATTACCATTATTATTATTATTATTATTATTATTATTATTATTATTAAGGTTGGATGGCTATCTGTCGGGGGGCTTTGATTGTGCTCTTTCTGCATGAAGGCAGATGAAGGCTGGACTGAATGGCTCTCTTTGGGATCCCTCCATACTCTATGATTCTATTATTTCCTCGCACTTGGGAAGTTATTAACAGATTTATTTGAACTCTAGCCATGCAACTCAAGCCAAAACCCCTTGTACATACAAAATGAAAGCTGAGCCCCACACAACCTAATAAATATGAATAAAGTTTATGCTTAATTTGACATCCTGAGGAAGTTTTTAAGTAAAGGCAGAAAATATGAGAGGGCATCTTCCAAAATGAAGTGACTTTTAAAACATTTGGAATATTTAGAATGATAATTCTTCAGGAAAGTTGGCACAACAGCAGTATTGATCCCATTTTGTATTGTTTTGATTTGTTTTTGTTAACTATGGCATTCAACATTTGCCTTTTTTGTATGCAAATGGCTCTGAGTCCCCTCGAGGAGAGAGGGTGATCTATGAATAAAGTTGTTGTTGTTGTTGTTGTTGTTGTTGTTGTTGTTGTTGTTGTTGTTGTAGCTTTTCCAGAGCCTCTGGCAAAGATCATTTAAGTTTTTGAAAATGAGAGGAGAAGATGCAGCCCTACGATGAGCATTGATTCACTAAGGCTTACCAGAAGAGGGCACTGGGCAGCCCTTTTCATAATCGGGAGCAGAGAGGGTCCTGTGTGGCGCCTGCTCCGGCATTTCTCTCCTGTACAGCTTGGAATCCAGAAGAGGAATCCGATTGATGACCGGAGACTGCGGGATGCTGGGAAGAGTCCGCGACTTTCCTAACACAGGTCTCTGTGGCTTCCTATCTAGCGACCTTTGAAAAGGAGAGGAAAGGAAAATGGAAACAAAATATAACCCAATATAACACTGGTTTTGTTCCTGGTTCTATCATAGCAACATGGGAAAAGTGTATTAAACTGCAACAACTTTATTCTTACAGGAGAGACATCCTACTATAGCACATTTTGCTCTAGTTTTTTAATCAAAGTCTCATCATCGAGTCTCAACCCATTCAACATAGTTGGTGCCACAAAAAAGTTTCTGGAGTAGAACAAGAACTTTCAAAATAAGGACTGTACAATGAAACAGGATATAACACTTTCGAACCAGGAACAGAACATTTTTCAAACCTTGCTCCATAGCGTAATTGAAATGCATTCCATTGCAGGATTATACTTCTACTCATAGCATTCCAGAATTTGGAAACTAGGATACTTCAGAAAAGCAAATAAAACACATCTATTTGGAGGAAAACCCCATTTCATTTCAGCTTTGCTCAGAAAAAGGTGCATGGCATTGTCACCAAGCACTACTTTCCCAAACGTTGCCTTCCACAAACAGTAACAGGAAGAAGGTCCAAAGGGAGAGATTGTTTCTCTATTCCTGAAAACGTAACAAACAAAATATTTCTGTTAAATAAATGATAACCTGCCCAGGAAAGGAAAGGAAAAGTATAAAGCAGGCTCTGGTTAAAGTGGAAACCTTTTCAGCTGCTTTGCAACTTAAAAATGCATCCAGGGTCCATCCAGACAGTACTGTTATCCCAGGAGCTTCTGCAGCAAACAGGAGGGTGGTCAGATGCCATTCCCTGTGAACGCAGAAGGAATTGCTACAAAAGGCAAAAAACACGAGATTTCAAGGTGCGGGAATATCGTGATTTTGAGCCGAATATCCGCATCTTCGAATGTCTGTATGTCCCTGTAATCGGAAATCATGGGACTGTTTATCTAGATTTGTTCCTGGGTTTTAGATATTTGTTCCTGATTGGTTGGTTTCTAAAAAGATGGTGAAAATTGGGGACAACATGAAAACTTTGTTTGTGTGCTAGAAACTTTATGAAACATGTGGAGAGCACATTTTCTCTGGACAGTCAAAGAACAGAACTTTTGCAGTGATTCCCTGCAGTGATTCTCCACATATCCGCATCTTGATTATTTTTAAAGACAAAGTTTCCAGCAGAAGTCCTGTGGCGGCCATCTTGGGAGCCTCTAAATCTCGTGGGAAAGCATCAAGTCTGGACAATGGAGACAGAAATCCCAGGACCAACAGGTCTGTATGTGGGCCTCTTCTGGAGTCCCGGGACTTTTTTTGCTCCTGTTTAAAACCCGTGATTTAGTGCTATCTGGAAGCACCCTCAGAGCTTCCCCACATCTCCAGCACATCAGCATGTTGAACCCATAGAAGCCTTCCTTTCTCCCATGACTTATCTCTTCTTAGAGGCAGAGGGAATTAATTCAGTATTTGTAAATGCACCATGCATTTTTTCAACTCATATGTAAAACAGAGCCCTGTGGGAGGCAGCCGCATAGTACGTCCCGCTAGGAAAGATGCTTGAGAAGAGCGCAAGCATGCAGAGGCTACATAAAGGTCAGTTATATTCAATTGCACTGCAATCTATAAGCATCTTTTTGCCTGAGCAAAAACTTCTAATCAAGCTTTGAGAAGGTTAAAAAAACACTTCTACCTGCAGTAATTGAACCATACTAAGTTGTCAACAAAATGTGCTCATCAAAGGACTGAGAATATTCCAGTATTATTACATTGCACCTGGATGCACCTGGAGTCAAAGCTATAGACATGAAGAGCAGGCAGGATTTGTTTTCTTTTAATATTGATGTGTTGTTGGGTAATTCCATGCTTATGTTATAGAATCATAGAATCATAGAATCAAAGAGTTGGAAGAGACCTCATGGGCCATCCAGTCCAACCCCCCTGCCAAGAAGCAGGAATATTGCATTCAAATCACCCTGACAGATGGCCATCCAGCCTCTGTTTAAAAGCTTCCAAAGAAGGAGCCTCCACCACACTCTGGGGCAGAGAGTTCCACTGCTGAACGGCTCTCACAGTCAGGAAGTTCTCTCATGTTCAGATGGAATCTCCTCTCTTGTAGTTTGAAGCCATTGTTCCATTGCATCCTATTCTCCAGGGAAGCAGAAAGCAACCTTGCTCCCTCCTCCCTGTGGCTTCCTCTCACATATTTATACATGGCTATCATATCTCCTCTCAGCCTTCTCTTCTTCAGGCTAAACATGCCCAGCTCCTTAAGCCGCTCCTCATAGGGCTTGTTCTCCAGACCCTTGATCATTTTAGTTGCTCTCCTCTGGACACATTCCAGCTTGTCAATATCTCTCTTGAATTGTGGTGCCCAGAATTGGACACAATATTCCAGGTGTGGTCTAACCAAAGCAGAATAGAGGGGTAGCATTACTTCCCTGGATCTAGACACTATGCTCCTATTGATGCAGGCCAAATCCCATTGGCTTTTTTTGCCGCCACATCACATTGTTGGCTCATGTTTAACTTGTTGTCCACGAGGACTCCAAGATCTTTTTCACACGTACTGCTCTTGAGCCAGGCATCCCCCATTCTGTATCTTTGCATTCCAGGAAGAGTCATTATCAGGGGGAAAAGGGGTCTTCATTGAAGCTTTATCCCTAATCCTTGTTTCCAAAACAAGCTAAATTTCTCAAAATTTTCACATGGATGGAGAGTGAGGGGAAATCTGAACAGTGGCACAGACAGCAAAGGGAACAGCACAGGGGTGTTAATCCTTACACACACACACACACACACACACACACGAGTTACACTTTAAAAATGTCCCTGTTCCAACTTCCATACAAATTCAACTTCAGAACAAACCTAATGAATCTATCTCTTCCAGAAGTAAATTTCCCTTCTTTCCAAGAGGAAGATTCTTCTCACTTTCTGTGATCTTTCCCCTGTTCTTAACTAGGAGTTGTTTGTAAGTCGGATGTTGGTAACTCAGACACAGCCTGCATTGTAACTCAGGTTTTATCAAAAAAAGGAACTGTCCCCTTCTCTGTGCAGAATGGCAAAAGATGAGAACTTTCTAGTTCAGTGGTTCTCAACCTGTGGGTCCCCAGGTGTTTTGCCCTACAATTCCCAGAAATTCCAGCCAGTTTACCAGCTGTTAGGATTTCTGGGAGTTGAAGGACAAAACATCTGGGGACCCACAGGTTGAGAACCACTGTTCTGATTGGTCCCAGAAGAACCGAAAAGAAGCACTGATTCCGCCAACTCTTTCAGATCTGCCAAAGAGTGGCCCTGTTCTCATTCTCCAACACAGGCATCCCAAAAAGGCCTGAAGCAGCACTGAAGTAGAGAATGGATAGATCTGGTGCACCCTTTTAAGGTTTCCCCAGGCTGGACTAAAGACTTCATCCCACTGAACATGTCAAGTGTTAGGAAGAGTAGGTTTACCATACAGCGCAGGCATACTCTGTTTTGAAATTAAATGGATGATTTCCCCACCTCTGTCACACGCTAGCAAACTATCTAATTTATTCAGGAGTTCTCAGTTGATTTGCCATCACTTTGCAGAGAGTTGTTCCTGCCCGTTTCCTTTGTGAAAAGAAACATCTTGTCTCCTCAATGTCATCAATGTCATTTCCTAATTGGTTCTATCATCAACACACGGGAAAAGTTTATGAAACTGCACAAACTTTGTCTTTGCAGGAGGGACGTCCTGCTATAGCACATTTTGCTCTAGTTTCTCAATGACTGAACAAAGTTTCTGGAGCACAACTACTTTCAAAGTAGTTTAATTTCCAGAAATTAAACAAGAAATAACACTTTCAAGTTAGGAACATACTATTATTATTATTATTATTATTATTATTATTATTATTTTACTGACACAAAAGCACAGTATGTCACAGCAAACGAGATCTGTATGCTGGATTTCATATCAAAAAATCTCAAGTTGAACACTTCCCAAGTGCTCTTAGTTCCACTCCTCAGCTGAGACCTCTCTGACTTGGTTGAACCTGCTGGTAGGTACACTACCGCCAGCACAGCTTATTTATTTATTTATTTATTTATTTTGAGTGCTTCTACCCCGCCCTTCTCAACCCCCTAGGGGGGACTCAGGGCAGCTTACAAAAGGCACAATTTGATGCCTAACAATTCACAAAATACAATATACAATTTACAATATAACGACGACAGTTATAACTAACTAAAACAGTCAAATAAAAACAGCAGCAGCAATAAAATCATCTTGTGGTCAACGTTCGTCAATTCATAAATCCATAATCCATCCAGCATTGTCATTGTCCTTTCCTACTCTGGTCACCATTGTCTTTTATCCATCTGCCAGCTTACCCAAAGGCCTGGTCCCATATCCAGGTCTTTAGCTTCCTTCTGAAAGAGAGGAGGGATGTTGATGACCTAATTTCCCTGGGAGCATCCTTGGAGCAGTTAAGCTTTCCACCACGACAAGGTGGCACCCATCGAGGGATTATTATTATTATTATTATTATTATTATTATTATTATTATTATTCAGAGGCAGGGTGGGCATCTGTCAGAGGTGCTTTGATTGGGCTTTTGCTACATGGCAGAAAGAATGGGGTTGGATGAGGTGGCCCTTGGGGTCCACCAGAGGAGCAGGAGGAGGAGGAGGGAAGGAGGCGCCTGGGGGCTTGCCCTTTGCTGCCATTCTGCTGATCTTCCTCCCTCCCTCTCTCTCTCATTCTCCTTCCCCATGTTGGAAGGAAGGAAGGAAAGCAGGCAGGCCCCTAGAAAGTGCATGAGACAGAAAGGAGCACAACATACTGCCAGTCTTCCCTCCTCTGTGAGCAAAAGGCAATGGTGGGGCTTTTTCTCAAAGGGGCATTTCAGCTCCTCCCACAAGTTGCCAAACCGTATCATTTTAAAGCTGAGAACAACGAATACCATCACACAACAGGATTGGCCATTTTGTCCATCTCTATCTGGATAATTTGCAAAAAGGTTACTTGTCAACCAGCTTATTAAGCATCTAAAAAGATAACCCTTTGCAACGCTTTCT